CGGGAGAGAGAGAGAGAGAGAGAGTCTGTGTGTGTGGAGGCATCTGTGTGCTGATTGGCTGACAGCGAGCAGACATTTTCCACACAAACTCTGTTCACTGGTTGGTTGAGAGGCTCCCCTCCCCCTCAGCCTCCCTCAGCCTCCTTCAGCCTCCCTCCTCCTCCTCCTCCTCCTCCTCCTCCCTCTGGTATGTGGTACAGTAAGAGCTGACACGCCGTCGATGCTATCTCAACACTTTATCACGTTGGGTCTAAACTCCAACCGCTGCTGCGCAGGGAAAAAAAACACACCCAGCCACTGAGGCCAGTCAATCTGTAACTGAGCTGAGAGAGAGAGAGAGAGAGAGAGAGGAACAGGAGAGGGGGGGGGAGATGAGATGATGCAAGAGAGGTGGGGGTGGAGAGAGGAGAGAGGATGAGCTGAGGAAGAGTTCATCTTCTTATATACATACACATCAGCCAATCAGTGTTCTGCAGCTCACCGTCCCACATCAGAGTTTTTATAAAAACTTCACAAAATGTTAAATATCTGCAGGTAGAAGTTGTTAATCCACTCACTTGTAATTATTTATTTTAATTAAATTTTAACTCATTTAACTAATCTACTTTGTAGTCGTTGGTGTGGGCGAGTTAAGGGATTTATAAACATTAACTTCCTGTTAGGAAAGTTTGGCTAACAGTGAGACAGAGTTAGTTAGTGCTCTCTAAACTACGGAGAAGTATCTGCATTGAAAAAACAAGCTTCTTAATGCAGATCTGCTGCCCCATGTGGTCAGTTTGGGACATTATAAATACGTCTTTAGGTGGACAAAGTTTAAATTCTCCTTCTCAAACAAATTTACATTGTGCAATATTTGTTTTTTGTAATTTCTAACACAGAGTAAATTTGTCTCCTTCCTGTGGGAATTCTCTCCCTGTTGTTAAAGGACACACATTTACCATCATCACACCTGGATGGACAACTGTGTACAAAACCAGGATAAAAAAAACAGCCAGAAAGGTGTTCACGCTCAGTCGGGTCTAAAAGTTGGAGGTGGAGTCACGCATCAGTTAGCGTTTTTTTTTTTCCTCCTGCAGAAGGAGCAGTGGAGGATGGGTAATGGCAGCCAAGTGTTAGATGGAGGAAAAAGAGGGGGTGGAGACATCAGTTAGCGTGAGAGAGAGAGAGAGAGAGCGAGAGAGAATGCCCATCAATCTCTCCTGCTCCAAACTCACTCACACATGGGGAAGCAGCAAAGTTCTCTCATGTGAGTCTGAGCTTCCTGTTGTGGTGGAAAGTAAGACTGCAAGAAAGAGAGACAAAAGAGAAGCCGTCATAATTACAGCGACACCTAAGAAAAAAAATAGAAGTTCAATTATGGTTTAAAACTGTTTTTATTGAGTTTAATCCTTGATACAAAAATGATAATAAAATCAAGCAGAGTCAGATTTTTTTTTTTTTATTTTAATTTTAAGAACCTTTTCCACCTACTTTATCTCAAAACCTTTCTATCAGAAAACTGACCATAACATTTAACATTTTATGATAAACATACATTTTTGTTTGTATTAAATAAGTAGTTGTAACAAGTATCGCTCCAATTAAAGTTCCTTTTTAAAAAAAAAATCCGTTTCAGTTTTGACGACTGAGTGACTTGTTGGGTTAAACCTGCAGTTGAACTGTTGATTCTGTTGACGTGAGGCTAATTAGCTTCAGCTGCCGCAGTGGCGTGAAGATGGTTAAATTGGCTTCTAATTAGCAGCAGCTGTTCGCTACAGCTAGCTCTGTGAAAATGATTTGATTTTCTCTGGCTGTGTTTTTCTCATTGACACAAGTACATTAACATGAACGCAGCCTCACCGGGACCTGCTGTAGATTTATTAGTGGCTTCAATCAGTCTGGCTAAATGCTAACATGACGAGTGTTAGCCGACTAGCGTTAATAACATGATGATATCAGCTTGTAGTTTTGTCTTGTTCAGTTGGGACCACAAACTGTTCGTCTCATCCTTGTGGCAGGGCAAGAGATAAGTTGATGAGATAAAAAAAAAAAAACCCCAGCAACCGCAGTAACACTGCTGTTACGGCTGTTACTGCTGTCACTGCTGTTACGGCTGTTACTGCTGTTACTTCTGTTACTGCTGTTACTGCTGTTACTTCTGTTACTGCTGTTACTGCTGTTACCGCTGTTACTGCTGTTACTGCTGTCACTTCTGTTACGGCTCTTACGGCTGTCACTGCTGTTACTGCCGTCACTTCGGCCCTTTGCTGCCGTTACTGCCGTTACTGCTGTTACTGCTGTTACGGCTGTTACTGCTGTTACTGCTGTTACCGTTTCCCTCCTGCATTTGACGTCAGAAACAAACCAAAATCAGCGTATATTTCGGTGTAGTCGTGGTCTCCGTTTTCATGGGCTTTTGTGGGTCTCCAGTTACACTTGTCGTAAAGCGACATAAACTCGACACCGCCCCCTGCTGTGTAGTTTAGGTGTCAGCTGTGATGTCAGGTGAGAGAGAGCTGATTTATGGTCGTCAAGTGTAGTCGGTATTTATTTATTTTTTTACCCTATTGTTTGGTTTTGAACTAAAGAAGTTTTCTAAAAGAAGAGGCGACTCGTGTGACAGCGGTTGAAGGCAACACACACACACAGAGAGAGAGAGAGTTTTGTTGTGCCTTTGCATGGATGTGCACAAGTGTCAGCTCGTTCTGTTTCTTCACAGTCGAGTGTGTGTGTGTGTGCGTGCGCACGTGCTTGTGTGTATGGGTATGTGTGTGTAACAGGCGGGCCGTGTCAGTGCTGTGTGTGAGAAATGATGGCTGGGAACAGATGTAGTAACATCAGCTACAGTACACACACACACACACACACACACACACAGACAGATCATGTACTGTGAAGTTTTCCTCACAGGTTCATGTTCCTTCATATTAATAAACCTTTATTTAAAACCTTCCCTTTAGCGCCACCAGCAGGTCCTGTGGGGTTTGTTTTTTTTTGTTTGTTTTTTTAAAGCTTCCTTCTCCAGTTTCATCCTCGTCTTCACTTCTCTCCTAGCAGTTGATTTTTATTTTATTATCCTCCATCCTCCTTTCTTATTGCAAACTCCTAATCCCCTCTTCGTCGTCTTCCTCCTCCTCTTCTTCTTCTCTCCATCCTTGCCTCCTCCCCTTCTCCTCCTCTCCTCCTCTTCCAACCATCTGTTGCTGTTCGTTTTTGCAGACTGAAAAAAAAGTGCTGGCTCTGCGCTCTGTAGCCAATCACAGCATTGCCCCGTGTGTGTGTGTGTGTGTGTGTGTGTGTGTATGTGTGTATAAGCACACCAGTGCACCTGCCACGACCATGTTACAGTTTGTCATGTAAGAGCAGTGATAGGAGAGGTCAGTGGAAACTCCCACACACACACAATCACACACTCACACACACTCACACACACACACAGACTGGGCCAGTTGTCACCAGTCACTCGCAGAGCTCCACTCGTCTCCTCCTCATCTGTGACTTAGTTCTTAACCTTTAACCACAACAACTCTTTCTAAAATCAGACTCTGATTCTTACTGCTGATGCTCCACTCTTTAATAATCCACCCTTTTGTTTCTGATGTAATTAATTTCATAATGTAAACTCTAGTGTAAAGAGTCGTCGTCCCTGTCATGAAGATCCTCCTCTGCTCAGCTGTATTTGTATTTTTCTTTTCTTCCTTTAAATCTGGGAGGATTTAATTTTTTGTGCTTGAATTTTTAAAATAAATCTGGGAGGATTTTTTTACAGCAAATTTAATTTTTTGTGCTTGAATTTAAAAAAGAAATGACATTAAAACTACAACTGCAGTTGTCTGTGGGTTAGATAAAAATAAATAAATAAAAGGAAGAATCCAATAAAAGCTGCTCTCTGTAGACTGTAAAAGAATGAAATTCAACACTGTCTGCAGATACTGGCGAAAGAGAAAAAAAAAAGGAACCTGTTGAAACGTACAATTTGTTGGATTTAAAAGAAAAAAGAAAAAGATTATCTATTAAATTAGTATTTCGCTGCATCAGCTCCTGCGTTTGATTTTTCCTCTTTTCACAAAACTCCCTTCAACTTTTCATCTCTGTCTCACTCTGTCTTCTTCTTCTCTCTGTTGATGCTGCTCTGTTCATCTTTCATCAAGGTTTTTTTTTTTTATCCTTTGCACCAGGAATGTATACACACACACTCACACACACACATGTATCCGTACACCCTTAGAGTGAGCTTTGCCGAGCTGCAGGAGGAAGTGGTCACTTCTGGAGAGCGACTTCCTGTGGGGGCTGCCAGACAGGAAATGCCAATTAACTTTTCTTCTTTTGCTCTCTCCTCGGAGAGAACTTGACTCTGTCTCATCCTTCTCCCACTCTGTGATTGTCCCTGACGTGCCGTCCTCTCTTTGCTGTTGTGCGTTCCTCCGTGTCTCATGGCCGTGCTGCAGGCAGGTGTTATGACGCCGTGTTTTCAGCCCTCTGGTCCAGTGGGCGAACAGCCAAAGCTGCTCTTATAGATTAAAGGTCACGACGGCTCCCTCTCTCTGTTCGTTCCCTTTTTTTTTTTTTTCATCAGAAAGATGATTCTCAAGAAAACACCGGGAGTGTATAAAGAAAAGGGAAACATGCACACATGGAGCTGGCATTTTATTTTGTCGTGAGTCCTCTCTGCTGACAACATGGTGATGTTATCATAGGTCGACGTGATGGGCCGTCGTTTGACTGTTCCATTAATTAAGGTGTTTAATTGACATGTACTGATGGAAGGCAATGAGAGTGAGGTAATTAAGGTGTTTAATTGACATGTACTTATGGAAGGCAATGAGAGTGAGGAAAAAAAAGAAATCAGGATTTGTAGACAAATTAATACTGAATAATAGAAAAAAAGCAAAAAGGAATAGTTGTCAAAAGGGAATTAGTGGTGAAACTAAATAGCGTCGTTGACTCGTTGGTTGGACAGATGTATTGAGACTGAATTTGTTGGGAAAAAAATCAATTAAATGTGTATTTTCTTTTTCCAGCAATCATGGAAAACTCAACGGAGGAGGCGCAAGAAGGAGGTGCCAAAGCACTAAAAAATGAGGAGGAAGAGGCAGAGTTATCTGAGAAGACACAAAAAAACCTCAAAGGTACAAAGAAGCAAAACCAAAAGTTGAAAGTTACGTTTAGGAGAAGTCAGGTGTCACAACGGACTTCCTCTTTCAGGAGCCGTCAATGGAACGAAGGAGGCGGCAGAGAGCGGAGGAGGAAAGCTGCAAAATGGAGACCGAGGAGGAGGGGCTGAAGGAGGCGACCTGTCCTCCATCAACTCCATGATGTCCACAGTGATGATGGCTGCAGAGAGCATCAACGGCGGAGGAGACGGAGAAGGAGAGAGTGCTGTCACCTCCGCCAACTCCTCTGCTGTGCCCTCGCCCAGGTGTGACCGCGGTTTCTGACTCACCTTTGGCGACAAGTTGCTGTTTTCTTTTTTTAAAACATGGTTTTAATATTTTCATCTGCTCTCATCAAAGCCCCTCGCCCAGCAAGTCCCTCCCCTCAGCCATGAGAGCTCCACCCAGCCGCGGCGCACGGCGCAATCAGGTACCTGAAAGTCTTTATCCAAACCTTGACGAATACTTTTTACTTGGTACTTTCATTTTCTCTCCTCCCCCTCTGTCTCCCCCCCTCCCCTACCGACCATGTGACCACTTCCCCTTTTTTCTGTTCTCTCTCTTCCTTTGTTCTTTATCTCCCCTCTCTCCTCTCTCCTCGCTCTTTTCTTTCCTTTCTTCCATTTGGATCTCCCGTTACTTTTCTCCCACTCTTCCTTGTCTCTCACCCTCTCCTCACGCTGTCCTTCTGTCCTCTCGCCTCCTCCCTGTGCTTCCTCTCCTTGTTTTCCTTCTCTTTCGCCTCCCCATCATGCACTGGGACATTCTTTCTTGCTGCCTCATCATTTCCTGCAACAGAAACAGGAAAAGGAAAGTGTGTGTGTTTGCGTGTGTGTGTGTGTGCAAGTGATGTGAGGGGAAACTGTCCTACAATGCATCAGTGCGTGTCACTGATGTTTGTGGACAAACAGGTGTGTTCACCCTCGTGTCATGTGACCAACAGAATTCTGTCGTGACACACACAACAACAAAGACACTGAGGCTTTACTGACTCTAAAGGAATTAGACCTGTAACACGTGTGTGTGTGTGTGTGTGTTTGTGTGTTTGCAGGACACCAAAGACGACAGTACAGCATATATTTGTCCGCTGTGTGATAAGAACTGTCAGTCCCAGCACCAGCTCACTATGCACATCAGACAGGTAAAAAAAAAAACACAAACACTTCAATACACCTTTAATCTGAAGAGATCGTCTCCAGGAACAGTTTAAAAACTAACAACTTCATATCAGGGAATGTCCACGACTTCATAACAAAATACTCTCTGCTTTATTTCATCATTACATGTGGGGGATTTTAGTGGCTTACTTCCTTTGATGTTCCACAGTTAAAACATTTGAGTAGATGCAGCAGCAGCAGCAGCAGCTGCAGCAGTGACCACTACATTGTTGATTATTCCCCACTGACCAAATTGTCCTCGTGGACTCGTATTTACCCCTGAGTTTTTGTCACATGCGCTGATCTTGACCCATGCAGCACAACGCAGACACTGGAGCGACGGATCACTCCTGCAGCATCTGTGGGAAATGTCTGAGCTCGGCCTCATCGCTGGACAGACACATGCTGGTCCACAGTGGAGAGAGACCGTACAAATGTCTCGTCTGTGGACAGACGTTCACCACCAACGGCAACATGCACAGGTATAGACACACACACACACACACACACACCTGGACATCAGTGTTGAACTTTCCAGAGATATTGTTGTGTTGGCTTCAAGAGTTGATTTGTCAAAGTATCCGAACGTGTTGTTGTTGTTGTTGTTGTTGTTGTGTTATGGTGAAATTCATAGGTTGTACAGACAGGAGTGAATGTGGGTGGTGTGAATGGAGTGAATGGTGTGAATTGAACCACCAACGGCAACATGCACAGGTATAGACACACACACACACACACACACACACCTGGACATCAGTGTTGAACTTTCCAGAGATATTGTTGTGTTGGCTTCAAGAGTTGATTTGTCAAAGTATCAGAACGTGTTGTTGTTGTTGTTGTTGTTGTTGTTGTTGTTGTGTTATGGTGTATGGTGAAATTCATAGGTTGTACAGACAGGACTGAGTGGAGTGAATGGAGTGACCGGTTGTGACTGGTTGTGACTGGGCTAAAGGCTAAAGGCTAAACTGAAGCGTTTGCGTCCCTGATTGCTCAGTGGTTCTGTTGACATTGTTTACACTGTCGTGTGATGAGAGATTAAAACTTTGAAATTGCTCTGGTGGAAAACCAACCCTGATTGCGAGTAAATGCACACACATATACACACACACACACACACACACACTTTAATACCTTGGGCACAGGAAACGGGCGTTTAAGGCCGTCTCCAGTCAAATGTTCTGAAAGTGTGTGTGCGTAAGACTGGGAGTTGATGCTTTAAAGTAGTCTTCCAACTTCCTGTGCAACCCCCCATCTCACACACACATACACACACACACACACACTCAGCTTCAGGGACCGTTGGATTTGACGGTGGAGGCTGGACTTCACTGATAAACGACTGGGTGTTTGTCAGCATGTGTTTGTTTGAGTCAGTGTGTGTGTGTGTTTTTAACTGACATCAAAGCCACTTTTTTAACCGGCTCCCACTTTCATTCAAATTGACCTAAGTTTTAAAACGTAAACTGGAGACACGTTGGCCCTGTGTGAGTCCTGAGGCAGGACTGGGGTTTGGCTGCAGCTCACGACTCTTCAAAGTCCTGTTCACCAAAGAAAGCTGAGTTCAGTTAAAGGCCTGTTAGTTTGGTCCAGTACAGCAGAAGATGCTGGAACCCCATGTGACCCCAACGTAACCAAATACTCATTTTTTCCATTGAAACAAAGTGTGTTTGTTTGAAAACAAATGTTTGCTGAATCGTTTTTCCCTGCAGCAATGCAAAAAAAAACAAAAAAATCACACCTGTGCTTAGTCGAAGCATCCATGTTTTTCCATATAAATAAAATGAGCACTTCTGTTTTTTCCTAACTATAAATGAACTGTGCACCTTCAACACGCTGTCTTAAAACAGCTGCACACTTTCTAACTTCTCTAAAGGAAACAGAGTCATTCTAATCACCGAGGTTCCTCCTGAACTCGCCTGCCGCAGCTTTAAAGTTGACCGTCTGGTTTGTCAAGTCCCTGCACTTTGTGTCTGCTGAAAGACAAACTGATCGCTTTCTGAAACAACAGCTCGGCCTCCTGCAGGCTGGATGCTGATTTCCATCAACACGCCCTGGAAATGGTTGCGTCACTTTTTTTTTCTTTCCCTTTTTTCCAAATCCTGTGAGAACAGTAAACCAGAAAGAGAGAGAGAGAGAGACAGAGAGAGAGAGAGAGAGGGAGAGGGAGAGGGAGGAGGCAAAAAGATGGGGAAAAGGAAAAGAAGTGTAGAAACTTCTGGAACACACATGAAGTTCTGCACCTTTCTTCTTCTCTTCTCTTCTGCTCATTTACAAGTCAAACTGCAGCAGAGTGGGAGTCTGTGCGAGGCCTGCTTTTCCAGGCTGCTGTAGGAAAATAAAGAGGAGGCCTGTCTGGATGGAGGGAGGAACAGAGGAGGGAGGGAGGGTGGGAGAGGAGGAATCCATTTTGCAGCAGAGCATCCTTTGAAATGTGAAACGTGAGATTTTCCTACACGAGCGTCTTTAGTCAGAGGGAGGGAGAGAAGGATGGAAAGAAGGAAGAATCCCATCCACAAGTGGTTTAAAAACAGGCTCAAAAGTTGAGGAGCAAAGGATTCAGGGAAGAGAAAAGGAGACGTAGGGAAGGAGTAAATGTGTTTCCAACAAAAGGAGAATCCATTTTGTGTCACAGCATCCCTGAAACATGAAACTGTAGTTTTTGTCTCGTGAAAGTTGCGTGTGGGCGGCAAACTATTTGCTGGCCCAGAAATAAAAGTTTTTTTTTTTTATTTATAAATGTAAAGGAACAAAACCATCTCCAAGAAGTTGGAGATGGTTGTATGGATGAATTCTTGTTTCAATTTTGTCTATAACAAACTTGTTTATCAGACGCCCTCTATAGGTCAGCAGCTGATAGTGACACATTGACCTGGGTGCAGGAGGTTAAAGTTGGTGTTAAAATGATTGAATCATTCGTAGCTTTGAACAAACTGATGAAAAGTCGCACATGGTTTAGTGTAGTGACAAAAAGGAACCACACGAGGTAGCAGTGACTGTGTTACAGTAACAAAATATAGTAAATGAATAGTGTTAGCTAAATCTATGTGTAAGGTGCTGCTGCATTCTGGGTAATGTAGGCCTGGAGTTGGAAGTTATGGCCTGTTTGTGTGTCTGTGTTGACAGAGTCTATGTCAGGTCATCTGACCAGCATGTGATGGCAGCAAAGGTGTCATGTTACACAGTAGTTCTAAAAGAGAATCAATGAATAAAGAAGGCAGGACAAAAGGGACGGGGGGTGAAAAAGAAAAAAGAGGAAGGGAGGAAAAGAAAGGAGAAAGGAGGTGAGGAGAGAGGTGTCAGGGCTAATAATAGAGAGGCACAGGCGGCGAGCTGGACGCCCATAACAGGTCCTGACAGAGTCAGCAGATCTGAGACCAGCTGACGGGAAGTTGCTGATCAGGAGCAGGACTTGACACAGCCAATCAGAGAACAAGATTTCCAAGGCCCAAAGTGTATGGTCGGCCCAGAGCATGACCAATCAGAGAGCAAGAGAACCACGTGTACTGATTCAGTGCACACACACATAGCTGGCCTATGTCACCATGGCAACCTCAGTCAACCACAAGATGAATGAAGAAACATCAAGACTTCAAAGCCAAAGTGATGGTTTCCTGGAGTTTGGTCGTGTGACGATGACACTAACAGTTAGTCCTACCTGCACCAGAAGTCCCAAACCTACAGACAGGCTGTCGATGACGAGAGAATCAAGTCTGAAATTCATTTGAACAAAGACTGAAATGATCAGTCAATAATTTCGTCAGTATCTAAAAAAATATCTTCACTTTTATATCCGACTGTTGGAGCTTAGAACAACAGGAAACTAACGGCTACAGAAGCTGATCTGTAACTGCCTACCTCCAGTCAGGTTGATTTGTTTTCTAAAGGAATTAAATAATACATTTACTGTTGCCTACGGTTGTATTTGAACAATTTTCTTGTATTTTATCATTTATTTAAGACTGACAATTTAGTCCAAATAAAACCCAGACCCATCATTTATTTAAGACTGACAATTTAGTAAATACTTTAGTCCAAATAAAACACAGACCTGCTTATTTTTTTATTTTTTATTATTTTCCACCTTTTAGACATATGAAAATCCATGACAAGGATCCAGCCACTGGGATGCTCCCCATTTGCCCACCCACCATCGCCAAACGCCGCCGTCCATCTGCCAAGAGGAGACTGGGAGAGGATGAGAACGGCGATGAGCCGCCCAGCAAGAAGGTGATGGTTTTTAACGTCTTGAACGGTCAGGGTCAGTCAGGGTTTAAATGTGATGCAAAATTAGGAAACAGAAGGAAAGTGAACCAGGTTAAACTGACCATGGGGGGTCGCTGTCTTTTAGTTCTTCAAACTGCAGTTCCATTATTTGATTTTTTTTGAAGCAGGGTGAAGAAATGTCCACTAACATTGTGTTTGGTTTGCGTGTGTGTTCAGGTGCTGGACGACCCTGCAGGAGCATCAACAGCAGAGGAGGCCGCAGCAGCGATGGCGGCGTCCGCCGCCTCGGCCCGTGGTTTAGAGGAGGAGCTGCTGCCCTGTCCAATCTGCTTCAAGACCTGCGGCTCCAGACTGGAGCTGGACGCTCACATGGACACACACCCGGACACGGCACTGAGGTGCGTGTGTGCACACTCGACCGCACACAGACACACACACACACACACAAGAGGACAGAAGAGGAGGAGGAGGAGGCTAATAAGTCAGCCGTGGATGAGAGAGCCACAGACAGAGAGGATAACTTAATAAGTGACACACAGAGAGGGGAGAAGGGGGACAAGGGGGAGGGAAAGGAGATTTTAGGTCGTGCTCGGCCAGTCCTCGTCTCTATGACAACACCCTCCTGCCCTGAAAAAAGGATACCCTGTGTCGCTCGGGCAACCTAACTCCTAACAACAGCCCCGAGAGAAAGAAAAGAGAAAAGAAAGACGCAATAAAAGAATAACGGTAGAGCAAAATTTAAAGAAACAAAAAACCTTAAAAGAAAAGAGTAGCAAATGGAGGAGAAGGTGATTAAAGAAAAACTCAAAGGCATCAATGGACGAATGTGATGAAAGGGGGAAAAAAGACAAAACAAAAGTTGAAATGAGGAATGGAGAACAGATTTAGAACAAACATTATTCCAGCAAAACAACAATATTGGAGCTTTGTCATTGGTTGGCAGGTTTTTGGTCTTAATCAGTCATAACATAAGGGTAATAGAAAAGGATGGATGGATGGAGAGCATCAGCAGCGTTGAGCTTGTTATGAAGCAGAAGGAATATTTAGCTTTAAATCCTGAGTAAGCAGCCGGTAAGAGGATCTGAGTGTGTGTGTGTGTGTGAGTGTGTGTGTGTGTGTTAGACGCAGGGACAGGGGGAGATCTTATTCGCTTGCGTCACTTAAAGCTTTGTCAACTTAAGAAAAGGTACGATCACTCCAGTTCAGCGATGGATCGTCGTCATGGTAACGAGATGCTGTCCCATGACTTGACCACAGAGCCGACCTCCCACCGTGTCCGCAGTTCATCAACTCAGTCTAACAAAAATGATAAAATATGGCTTCAAATAAAGTTTTAAAGTTTTACATTTTTTAAAAATTAATTAATTAATTAATTAATTAATTTTACATTATCTAGAAACTTTCCGGACAATAACTGGGAAATGATTAGAGAAGGCTTTAAAATTTTCAAAAGAAATAAAATTGGAAATGTGTCATGTTTTATATGATGTAATTAAATGTAAGAGTGAGAACAAAAGGATGGAGGAGAAGGTGGTGGTGATGGTGGCACACACACACACACACACACCACTATACCTAAAATCCTCTGACAAAGAGTCTGAGGGGATTACACACAGCTTAAACACACACACACACACACACGTGGATGTGATAAGAGTGTGTGATTGTGACAGACTCGGAGCAGCTGTCCTTTCTGTGAATAAAGGGATAATTCATGTTTTTTTTTAAGTGCCTGTGGTAAAAAAAAAACCCAAACTTTTCTGCGGAGGCTGTTGTCAGGCCGAGAAGCTCTGAGAGGCAACGAGTCGAGACATCGCTTCACTCTGTGGTGTCTCTACACACACCGCTCCATCCGGCAGTTAAACAGATTTCTCACAAAAGGAAATTGCATTTTGTAAAGCTCTTACTTCCCCTAACACCAAGGAGAAAATCACTGATGCTGCATCGTATTTTCAGTATTTAAAATGTAAATCTAAACTAAATCTGTTTGAAGCTGATTTTTCTTTAAAAAAAAAGAGGGAAAAAAACGAAAAAGAAAACACTCTTTTTCTCGCACTAAACTCTTTAACTCCACCATTTCATGCCAGGATTTTTAGCTGATTCAAACCATCAGTCTGATTCTGATGTGCAGAGGCACAAACACAGAGATATGACTCCACCCAGTGGCCACAAAGTAAAACAGTGTCATGATGACGTGCTGAAAAAGAACCTGCTGGAATGAAATCCATTTGACTGTATCATTTTTATTTTGTTGTTGTTGTTGATGGTGTACGCTTTAACTTCATCGTCTTCACCCTCCAGGTGTGATCTCTGTTGCCTCTCTTTTCGAACTCACCGTGGCTTGTTGCGTCACAACGCCGCGGTTCATAAAGTCCTCCCCCAGGATCCCAGCGGTCGTCCCTTCATCCAGAACAACCCCTCCATCCCCACTGGCTTCAATGATCTTGCCTTCATCGACTTCTCTTGCAAAAAGTTTGCTCACATTGCACAGGTGATGTCACAGACCCACGGTCCACGTCTGTTTTAGAACCAAACTTTTTTTTTTTTTTTTTTTTTTTACTTAGTCTTTTTTCCCTTATTTTGTCATCCAGGTTTGGTGCGAGACAAACCTCCGTCGTTGCATTAGTAAATTTCACCGCTTTGTCTGCGAAAGCTGCGACAAGGCGTTCCCCCTGCGCTCCGCCCTGGACCTACACAAAACCATGTCCCACACTGACAAGTCTCCTGAAACGGTGGAATGTAAGGAACAAGTGGAAGAAGTGAAATCCATGGACATTGACACAGAGGACAATGGTCCAGCAGAAGACACAGACGTGAAGTTTTCTGAACAGTCCGACTTCCTTAATGCTCTCGGTCTTCAGCACGTTTCTACGGTGAGATCTGAGATTATTTTGGTTACATCATAACCACATAACGTACAGTAAAACGTGCGTGTCTTAGTTATACACCCTCCACCTTTGGGAATTTCCTTTTAACAAATTCTGGATTTCTCTACCAGGTAAAGTCCGGTCCAACAGATGATGAGATCCACCAGGCCCACCTGGACAGCATCAAGGTGATCCACGTGGAGCCGCCACGCTCCAGTCTTCCCCAGGAGCCGGCGTCTTCCTTCCTGTCTGGTGGACTGGGCCTGACCCTGGGTCTTGGTGGGCTGGCAGCGCTGAGTATCCCCCTGCTGGAGGCCTCTGCCCTGCAGGGTCTGACTCAGAAAGACGCCCTCAGTCTTCTGTCCATGCAGCCCTTCCAGACGGGCTTCCTCCTGCAGCCTGACGGAGTGGCTGCCACAGCAAGCTCTGCTCCGTCCGGTGCCAAACCCGGTGAGGCAGCTGGAGCTGGAATAATGGAACTTCCAGCAGATTTCCAGCAGATCCTGAAGGTGGCCACGACAGCACCCAATCAGATTAGTGTGACACTTCCATCTTTGGCCAAAGCTCCTGTATTCGCTGGAGGTCAAGGTTGGTGTTACTTTTATTTCTGATATTTTTGAATGTTGAGTAATTAGCAGAAATTTGTGAAAGAACATCACGTCCTTCCTTTATTTGAGTAACATCCTTGAAAAAAATTAATGCAATAAAATCAACGCTCTCTTCTTCTCCCGTGAAAGAACATCACGTCCTTCCTTTATTCGAGGAACATCCTTGAAAAAATTAATAATCAACGCTCTCTTCTTCTCCCATCCAGGTCAGGTCCAGGCTCAGAAAGCCATGCCTACGTTGAAGCCCAAACCTCCCATCACCCCTCGCACCAGCCTCACAGCAACAACACCTCCCCCTCTCCAGAGTTCCCAGCAGGCCTCACTGGGCTGCATCAGCCCCAGCCTGCCACCTCCCACTCCCATCCTCTTTAAAACTCCTTCCTCGTCCACTACTTTGGCAGACAGCGCAGGGCACATGGAGCCTGGGTCCATTGGCGACACCCAGCTGTCCGATTCACCGCCAGCGGCCACCACAGCTGTTCAGGAGGAGACGGCTCTTGGCGGTAAAAAACCAGGAACCAAAGGAGGCAACAACGCCAACGCGGGTTCTAAAGGCTCGTTCCCGTGTCGTTTCTGCGACCAGGTGTTTGCCTACTCTGGTGTCCTGCAGGCCCACATGCGCTTCCACCTTGGCATCCTGCCTCACCAGTGCAACATCTGCGACTATGTGGCCCCAGACAAAGCTACACTGATCCGACACTTGAGGACGCACAGCGGCGAGCGGCCGTACGTCTGCCGGGTCTGTCATTATCCTTTCACTGTCAAGGCCAACTGTGAGCGCCACCTCAGGAAGAAGCACGCCAAGACCTCCAGGAAGGAGATAGAGAAGAACATTAAGTACGTCACCTCCACCACTACTATAAACATCCCGTCATCAATCACTAACTCCACCCAGGACATGGAGACCGGCTGCAACGGAGCGGAGACGACCTGCAAGTTCTGTGGCGAGGACCTCAAGAACTACCGGGCCCTGCAGATCCACCTGCGTACTCACAACGGCTGCCAGAAGAAGCCGTTTGAGTGTCGGCGCTGCGGCGCCGCCTTCCTGGCCAAACGCAACTGCATCCACCACCTGCTGAAGCAGCATCCTGAGGTCCAGGAGAGGGAGATTGAGGACCACATCGCTACACTTCAGCCCCCCGCCGTCCCCATCACCGCTGTGGCCCCTGTACGAGGCGCTCTGGTCAGTCCCATGGTGCTGAACGGGATCAGTCAGCCTCCGCTCCAGATGCTCCAAGCAGTGAAGACGGAGGACCTGACCGGTGTTGTCTATACTTCAGAGCTGGACCAGCCGCTGGACTTCTCTGCTAAAGGTCGCGCAGCAGCGAACCAGACAGTGTCTCCGGGGGTGAAAATTGAGAGCGTCTCTCCCACGTTCGACTGCTCCGTCCTGGACCAGCCCATCGATCTGTCCATTCCCAGCAAGAGGCAGCGCAGAGAGGCTAACGAAGACAAGAAAGAAATCAAGACGGAGCAGAACGGCAGCAGTATTTTGGAGCAGCAGCAACAAACTTTGGCGGCATCCAAAGATGAGAAGTCTGCAAACAGCCTCCACACTCACCCACAGCTCTGTTACCAACTCCCCCCTGGATCAACTCCTCCTCCCGCTTCCATCCCCAACCTCAGCAACTCTGCTCGAGCCCAGCGCCTTAAACCGCTTCTGCCCAAACCCTCGTCGTCCTCCACCTCCTCCTCCTCACCTTCCACTACACTGAAAGAGCTCCCTCCTCTGGCCTCCATTGCTCAGATCATTCACTCTGTCTCTGGAGCTCCAGACCTCCTGAAGAGAGAGGCTTCTTCAATGGACTGCAAACCTCAGGCGCTCGTTTCTTCCTCTCAGTCTGACTCGGCCACAGACGCTCCAGGACTCGTTTCTGGTCTGGATACACAGAATGAAGACGTGTCTGAGGGGTCATCCAGGTTTGTCAACTTTAGATGAGCTTCACCTACCTGTCTGACACACATGCTCATTTATTCAAGTGTAAATGTTTTATAGATATAAATATATATTTTTTCATATTCTTCAGGAAACGGTCGAGAAAGAAACATGCTTCTATCACAGGGAGAGAGAAAACTCTTGTCAACAGCAGCAGCAACAACATAGACCTGGAATCCAGTGGCGAGTTCGCCAGTGTGGAGAAAATGCTCGCCACCACCGACGCCAACAAGTTCAGCACCTACCTCCAGACTGGAGCCGCAGACCTCGGAGGAAAGAGAGGTAGAGATGAGAAAACTGATGACTGTGTGATTCAAAGGAGGAGTGACGGTCTTTAACGGTTCTTTACTGTTCCCAAACCCAGAAGACGATAAAATGGTAGGAGGTGAGGACAAAGACGGAGGAGCCAAGGACGACGTAAAGACGGCAGCTACGTCTCAGGCCAAAGGGAAGAAGAACGCGTACTCCAACTCTGTCCAGAAGATGACCTGCCCCTTCTGCCCCAGAGTCTTCCCCTGGGCCAGCTCCCTGCAGAGACACATGCTAACACACACTGGTACACACTTGTCTTTAAACCTGTTTGGACTCTGAGCCTCCGTCTGTCTCCGTCTCCATCTCCTTGTCCTCACCTTTGGTTCTTCCTCCTTCCCTTCAGGCCAGAAACCATTCCCATGTCCAAAATGCGATGCATTCTTTTCCACCAAGTCCAACTGTGAGCGCCACCTGCTGAGGAAACACGGTGTCACGCACAGGATTCTGAGGCGCAATGGCGCCTTGGTGAAAAAAGAAGGAGAAGAAGGTTCACACGAGAGCGCAGGTCAGGAAAAAAAAAAACAAACTATTAGACTGGTCCATTCTGGCATGATTTTGTTTTTATTTGAACATTTTTTCCATTATTTTTGGCTGCAATGAAACTTGGAATGAATTGAATTTGTTGTTGTTGTTTCTCTCAGAGAGTCAGTCAGAGACGGAGCAGGCCTCACCAGAGGCACATGACCTCACCAGCAGCGCCCCCTCCACTAGTCCCACACCTTTGTCCCAGAGCCCTGGTCCTGTGTCCGAGGACCCTGACCCTAAACCAAAGAGTCCCTCACCTCTCCAAGAGACCAGGTTGATGACACCACAGAGCCCCACCCCTAAAGAAAACCAAGGTTTATACTTAAATCATGAGAGGACTTTTCTGATGTTCAAAAAAAGTCTTGTTGTTCACTCCAATAATATTTGAAATATTAATAACTCCTCCTGTTATTTTTGTTGTTCTGTTTTGTTTTATTTTTAGCCCTGAGTCCAGATCCAACAGTTATGAAACAACCAGAGACAGAGGTCCCTGAGCAGCAGGGGGCGACAGAGAACAACAGCGATGACACCAGCAACAAAACTAGCAAAAGCAATAACAACATCAGCAACAGCGAAAGCAAAGATAACACTGACAGCAATAACTGTAGCAACGGCAGCAAGGTGACAACTGCAGGAGATCTTTAAGGTTTTGTTAAAGTTTTTAAAAGTCTGGTTTGTAATTGTTGTTGTTATGAATTGCTGTTGTTTGTACAGGTGGAGGGTGATGACGACGACTGCCACAGCAACAAAAGTCTGGACCTGAACTTTGGGAAGAAAATGATCGATTTTAAACTTTCAACACCAACGACATCTGTTCAGGAAGAACCGAGCCCAATGCTCTCCTCCTCGTCCCCCTCCTCCGCCTCCTGCTCCTCCACACACGCTCCTCAAGTATTGACAGAGAGTCCAGAGAAAGAGCAGGAGCACCAGAGTGAAGCCACCTCCTCCTCTACCTCGCCCTCTGCTGGCAGCGCCGTGTCAAAGCAGCAGCCTGAATACAAACACGTGTGTCGAGTTTGTAAAAAGAGTTTCCGCTACGCCACCACACTCGCTCGCCACGAGAGGGCGCACCTCTGTGAGGAGACGCCGGCTTCTGCACCACCTGAGGAGACCTCCGCTGTGGCAGAGGAGGTCACAGAAAGCATTGACACCAAAGCAACAGAGGAGGAGCAGAAGGAGGATGAGCATAAGGCGGAGGAGCAGCAGAAAGAGGAGGAGCAGACTGAGCTGGAGGCAGACGTGGAGATGGAAGTGGACAGTGGAGACGTAAGGGGAGGTGAGAGTGAGGCAGCAGAGAGTGAAGAGTCAGAGGAGGAGCAGGAGGAAAAGAGGAGCGACGAGGAGGAGGCGTCAGAACCAAAGAGTCTGGAGGGAGGAGCGTCAACAGGAGGACGGACCGACAAGAGGAAGAAGCTCTGTGACATCTGCAACAAACGGTTTTGGTCCCTGCAGGATCTGACCAGACACATGAGGTCACACACAGGTAACACACACACACACACAGGTAACACACACACAGGCGCTGAAACTCACAAACAAGCACAAACACGCCCCCCCGCGGGAGCTGACCCGACACATGAGGGCACACACAGGTAACACACACACACACACAGGTAACACACACACACAGGCGCTGAAACTCACAAACAAGCACAAACACGCCCTCATTCAGAGCAGATGATATCGGAGACTGTGCTCCTAACGTTTAATTAGCTCCAAAAAAGCCAGAAAGTAGCGACCAGAACAATCTCACGCTTGCATTATAAATGCGTGACATCTGGCGCCCTCTGTTTGCAGGCGAGCGTCCATACCAGTGCCAGACATGTGAGCGTACGTTCACACTGAAGCACAGCCTCGTCCGCCACCAGAGGGTGCACCGAAAAACAAGAGGAGCGCACAACAGCAATAACAACAACGACGACGCCGTCAGTGAAGACGGAGACACGGCGACGCCCACCTCCACCTGCCCGCCCTCAGAGAATGAGAGCGACTGTGGCAGCAACGCAGGAGCCACGGCCAAGGAGCTGGAGGACGAAGACGCCAAGGAGGAGGTCGGCGACAGACTGCAGGAAAAACTAGAGACGGGGTCAGATGGAATATCCGAACATTGTGGGACGGAGCCACCCTCCATAGACAAAACCCAAGCTACTGACACAAAGACGACAACTACTAACGACAATTCCAAAGACCCGTCGTCCTCCAGCTCTCCTCCAGAGGACACCACCACAGTCCCTCCTGCAGATGGTTTAATCGAGGAGCTGATGGACATCCACGCCAAGCCACCTCTAGAGCAAATCCTTCCAAACGGAGAGCATCCTCTGGTGGGCGTGGACTGACGACCACCATCATAACCACAGTGCCAAACGGTGGATGATGACGAAGATGAGAAAACCAGCCCGGAGAGAGAATCTAACATTTTTCACAGAAAGACGAAAACCTCGTTTTCTTGAAGTGCCTTACTACTTAGTCTGACTTCGAAATTTTTTTGCTATATCTTTATCTACATTATTACGGAGGATGGATCTAATTTTTATAGCTTTTTATGATGACAATGATTTGCATTATCATATTTGTGAGGGGGAAATCTATATTTCAGCAATAAAAGAATAGAACTACAATTTGTTATTATGCTAGATTCTGTTCCAGAATTTATGATCAACGTAGGAGGCGCAAAGAGACTAAAAGTTAGCATCAGCGGCTGCGTCTAATGATATGGATCTTATGAACCTGTTGGACTGAGGGACGACAGACTGTTCACACAAGTGGCATCAGTCACTCCTCCTGGTCAGATGGCCATCTTACTGGGGAGCAGGGTCACCAGCAGGTGGCAGTGTCAGTAGCCATCAACTACTATGTGGCAGAGCAAGGTTTTTGTAACTGGAAAACACACAGAAAGGCTTTGATTTCAACCTCTGTACCGATTCACAAAAACACTGATAAACTTTAGAGAAGTCGCCTTAAATTCTGCGTGACGGTGCCGATCGTCGATCAAAGGGATCGATTTTTTTTTCTTTTTTTTTTGTTCAATAACAATCACACTATTGATCCTTTCAGTCTGTGAATCGGTGTTTGTTAATAATTTCTCCTTCACATTCGCAGTTGATTCCATGTGTGTGCATAAATGAAACATGAGGTTTTTTTTCCTGTTTGTGCGATTATCCGTATATTTGGTGACGGGAGGAAGGTTATGTACTTTTGTGGATTTTTTGTTTAAGATTACTGAACAAATCAAATTTTTGGTTGCGTATGTGTGTGAAGTGTGAAACTCCCACTTTCCCCTCTTTGTCATCCCCTTGTTCACGTAGGGTTTATTGCAGGGCCTCTTTTGTGCTTACGTTAACTTCCGCTAACACTTGACGCAGGTTCAGTTTACCTCAATCTCTGCTTTTTAACTGCAACCTTTGAAAGAAGAATCGAGTGGCGCCACCTGCAGGCAGACCAATATTTCCTGTCATCTCCTTCGTCAGGCTAGCAGGCTTGGCTAGTTCAAAGTTCGCCATGCCTTTGTAAATAACTATATAATAAAGGGGGCTTAGATTAAGATAACTACAGCTAGTTTGGGGGAAAATGGATGTCAAATATGGCGTTTAGTTTGTGCAAGGAACAGAACTCACCACTGTTTATAAAAGGGCTGACTGCGACTGAACCTAAGGCAAGCGCTACCTACGAACTGCAACAAAGCACCAACAATATTTTCGTTTCGTAGCGCTGTCAGTGGTGCGAAAGTTAAAATGTTCCTACTTGTGTGTGTCATTTGTGCGACATTCAGGTTGACTCTGGTGTGAAAGCACAGTAGCAACAGGCTGGCTGTCGTTAGCTAAAGTTAGCAAAGGCTTGGCTTTCTAAGGTTTTCTAAGTTGACATTGCTCTGCTGTGTTAGTTGACTATTGCTAGCGCCAAATCTTGAAAGGGAAAAGACAAACAGGCCATGTAGTGAAATCTTGTCATAAACGTTAGCTAACTATTTTTTAGTGTTATCGCAGTTTCTCCTAATCAGCCCCTGTAGCACACTTTCTTTAGCCTGTCTTCTGATAATGCTAAGTATGAACTTCTTTTCTGTACCTTCAACAATAGCTGATTTTTTTTTTAATTAAAAAGATCAGACACATTAAATGTCAACGTTGATATTTTTGACTTTTGAGACAATCAAACTTTTTTTTTTTTTAATAAAAAATGTAGTTTATGGTTCAAATCCAAACCCTAGTGTTTTACTACAATCGCTAGTTTAACATGGATAAGAGCACGGGAGGATGGATGGATGGTTGGATGATGGATGGATGAATGGATCAGTAAATTTTCTGTTCCTGTGAACCTGCCTCACTCACAAACAGAAGGGCTAACGTAGGTTAACCACCAAGCTAATGCTAACTCTCCTCGCGTCTACATTAAGACGTAACTGTTGAACACATCTAATCTTTTTCTTGTAGAAATAACAAACCGAAAACCTCAGTGTCGGTACAGCAACAACCATTGCCTTGTACTGACTTGTGAACATCACTAGCTTAAATACTTAGATGAAATCTGCTATTGCTACAGTTAAATATTGAGACGAGAGAGAAGATTGTTTTCTTCAGTTTTTGTCCTCAGTTGTTTATAATTTGTCATTTTAGTGAATTACGTCCCCAGCTGTATAAATGTCTGTGCAATTTCAGAATTTCTTTACTGACTTCTCTGTAACCTAATCATCTCAGGACGACAACTTTCCTATCAACTGGTGCCTTTGCCCTGTCAGCTAATTACCATCAAGCTAGTTAGCAGGAAGCATCCATTTTGTGATGTGGCATTTTCATATTTCTGAGTATCTATTTTAAAACACAAATATTAGAATTTTAACACCAAAAACTTTGTTCACCAGCGACGGTTAGTAAGAGCTGATAGATTCCAACACTGTCACAACTCTGTCTGATGCATATTTTAACCGATTCTGTGGCTACTGCTATTTAAAACGGCTGGATTTACTCCTTGCATGGGGCTAATGCTAAGCTAACTGTAATAATATGAATTCATTAGATCTGACAACAATTAAGGAAAATCAACGTAACAACTCTTAACCAAAGGTAGAAAATTGAACTACTACTATTTTTAACTTTGTGAAAAAGCTCTTTGTCTCTAGCAGCTGTTGTATGTCTGGTTTTTCTCTTTCTCTCCAGCGCCCCCCCACTGTCCTTCGGGAGTTAGCGCTTGTGTTTGTGTGACTGTGTGTGTTTTTTTTTGTTTTTTTTTTGTGAACATATGAATACTGGACTTCCATTAGAATGCACGTGGACTGTTTTTAAATGTATTTATTTGGAGCCCAGGCGTGTGCACGTATGTGTGTGTGTGTGTGTAAGTTTAGTCTCTACAGTGACTTGAGAAAAAAGCCATTTATTAATAAAAACTATCACGTCGATGCTGCAGAAACGATGGTTTTCAATGCGTCGTCGCAACTTTAGGGCAACAGCGCAGAGTCGCAGTTAGCAATAACGTAAAATCCCTCTGAATCCAAAACAAAAGCTTTATGATGTAGAGGTTCCTGGAACTAAGTCTGGGTCTGTTGTTGATTTTTAGTTTGGATGATCATTTTCTGTTGTGTTAATTTTAATTTTTTTTTTCTCTTTGACATATAAATAAATATATAAAACTGTGAAAATGTTTGTGTTCAATTAAAGGGTGTCTTTTAGGTTAGTATTTTTTTGTTTTTTTGTTTTGCATGTTAATCTAATTTGTTCAGTTAAATGATTTGTCTTTCTTCCATCTCTTTTTGTTATACATAAACCAACATGGACTTAATATATACACATATATTGACATATATGTATATTTCTTGCTCTCAGGGTCAGTGACGAAATCCATTTTCAGTTAAAAAGAAACGTCATGTTTTTTCCTGAGTTGCAAATGTCCTACAAATCCTGATGATTTTTTTTTCTTTAAATCAAAATTCAGAAATCTCGATCACTACATTCAGCACTTGACTGTGAACGCATCATCATCATCATCATCCAAAACACAGACGTGTCGTCATGTTTTTGTTGATAAGAAAACCTGGTGACGTGTGTGTGTATTTCCCTCTCTCAACATTTCTGGTTCTTTTTTATTTTCTCGGGTGATTTCTGAAGATTGAAACTTTTGTGGTCACAGGTTAAAGCCAGAGCGTATATTTAAAGACAAACGGGGAGAGAGAGAGAAATGTCTTGTTCTGTTTTTTGGTTTCCAAAAAGACACAGCAGTGTTCGACAAAGTCAAGACATGTAAATGTGTTCTGTATCAACTCACTAAGACACGGCAATAAAGATTATATTCAGAAAAGTGTGTAAATCCAGCACAATCAGTGTCTCTTTTATTAAGAAATATTGTGACACTTTTTGTTTTGTAAAATTTTATTATTAATAATAATAACTTTATTTGTTTTGCACATTTCATACAATCAATTTGAAGTGTCTTTGTGAGAAAAATAGTGCAGTTTTGTACAGTTTGTCGTTTTCTACCGGCGTTACAAACATCCAGCCGCTCTGAAGGACACGGTAAGTGAAATGGAAACATCGCTTTCCACCAGTTTCTGTTGTTGTTTGCGCAATCTAACCAGAACTAATCAGGTGTGCCTAACTGTCAGCTGTTGCTCAGTTTGCAGGAAGTCAAACCGAAGCTCGACCGTTGGACGTGTGGTGGATTTCCCTCGATTGAAATGTCGCCGATGATAACATCGACTAAGAGCTTGTGACGAACAAGAAGTGGACGTTCAGGATTGCCACGAGTCAATAACTTCATCATGCGATGCCAAATGTGCCTGCCGGGTGGACTGAGCTGTCGAGAATTCGTCAAACCTACGACAGCATGGAGCGGTGAGTACAGCATCTGTGCTTCTGCATGTGTTTCCCAAACGTGATGTTTATTGTTTGGTTAAAACCGTTGTCCGTTGAGCAAAATAATACAAGTGCATAATTTTAGTTGCATTTGGTCTCTAATTCATCTTAACTCCTATATATTAGACTAGACTAGCTGTAACAGAGTAGCCTATTTGTATTTGAAATATCGATTAAAAACAACTAGTTGCACATAGTTGGATGTATAACTCGTCCTATTTTGCATCAAATAATTTAAAGTAACTGTAACTTTGACTCAAAATAAATTTTAGTTACATTTTCTAAATACCAATAAGTTCCTGAACAGAGCTCCGAAAATAAATGTTTATCAGGTTTTTAACGACAAAAATGGACATAGCTA